GGGGATCAACCTTGTGTTGAAGCAAGGTTCCGCATCCAACCTGCACTGACTCTATCTGTGGTAACACCCCGAAGGTAGATCTCCGACAGGTCATCTGACGTCACAATCTACGACAGTCTGAGGTGGCATTCACATTTATAAGGGTTTGAACTCAAATACACCGCAGGGAGGTGCGAATCTCCAACGCTATATCCACAGGCGTTCCACTCAGGCAACGGTCACAGATATGGGGCGGTGTTTACGATCACCGGACAGACTGTGATTCTCAGTAAAGAGACAGAATCTCGAGATGAGATGGGGACAGAAGTGAAGAGTGAGAGGTGTGTGAGGGCACGCCCTCGCATGCCTCTCGGACAAAAGTCACGGTCAACGATCCGAGGCAACCTCGTGGACGACGGCTTTCGGTCCCACGTAACGTTGCACGCTTCCTCGTGGCTCGGGGCGTTGGCGACCTCGACATCGCCCCGAGAGACGATCTCTCTCCAAGGTCGTAGGATATGTGGTGAAAGATGTAGTGGGTTGGGTTCGTAGAGTTGTGACCCACATCACACCGCAGTTTTGATGGTGTTAGAGCGCTCACTCCATCAAAACTACAGAGTAAAGGGGACCCAAACTCTGCTAGTCCAACCTTCCAAAGACAACATTTCGTCTCCTCTAACTTCGAAAGTGTGTACCGAAAGTATTAATACTGGAAATACCTTGGAAGTATGACCAGAAGACGAGTCAGGATCGAAATGACAGACGGCAGAGGAGTAAGGACGAGGTGCATTGCCAAGCTCAGCATAGCTGCGGCCTGCAGGACAAATGGCTAGCACGGGAGTATACGCATTGCGTAGGAGCGGTGTCGCGCGAAGGATATTGACGAACGTTCGTATTTTTTTTTTCTGGTCCTGATTGTGTCAAGCAACATTGACGCATCGTGGCCAGATAGAAATGATGAGAGATACAGACGAACAACAGTTCCTGGCTAACGGGCAAACGGCCACTTAAATGGGCGGCACCGTCCTACAGTCCGGCAAGGCCCTTGCACAAGACTATGTGGGTGAACGTTACATTAGTTGGATTTGGCCATTGCTAAAAAATGACAAACATGTATTTACGTATCCAGAGGTCAGAAGAAAGCTTGTTACTTTTCTGGAGGCTGAATCGAAATGAAACCTCCCTAAAGATGCACACTGCAACAAACGCGTCTCGTATCCAATCACCGGGTTTCCGAAAAAGTTTCTCGGTGTGGACGACAAGGCGTGGTGTCCGTGGAGCCAGTGGACCATGAATGGCTGTTGCTAATGTTCTCGTCATATGCTAAAGGATGGTCGACCCCCCTGTGGCTACAAGCCACTCAAGAACATAAACAGGCGACACAAACTATGCATTGTCGAGAATAGTGTGCCAACGGTGACACCGACAACATACCAAAGACAGCTCTTGGACTCATCCACACAGACATCTGGTACAAATGTAGCCCAGATTCGCTGAGCAAGCAGAAATTGATACCGGTTCCGAAGGTCTGTCGAGGACACGACGGCGCGTCACGATGCGGGGTGTCAATCACTGCTGACAAACACTACTTTACTGAGTAAGCAAATAGAAAACCATACATATCAAGTGGCCTTTCTCTTGAAACTATAACCACAAGCACACGTGCGCGGTACTTCGCACGATGAACCAACAAATACAGTAATTTGAGCCACGAAAGTGGCGTACGAACAGAAGCCACTGAAGGACTGCCGGCTACAGGACAAGCAAAACACCTGGGCGCCGGGCATCGGTTGTTGCAAGACCAAAGCAAGGAAACAGAACAAAGAGCATAAGACAACGCGCGTATCAATGTCCTTACGTGTTACCTTCGTGACGATACTTATTTATGACGGACCCGCTTCTTCCTCCCGGGCGGATCGAATGCCGAAGGATTTTGTGACAGAACCATAGCACGGTAAGACTCGATCATCTCCTTGCATTGTGGGAGAGTGCTGTAGTGACGTCATATACCACATTGTGTTGGTTGGCCTTTGAGTTTGCGGTGGTATTGGAAATGATCTACCGACGCTGCGCCTACCCCCCTTTTGTGACCATCGATTGCTTCGATTATAACGGACCGATAGTGACTGTGTGCATGCAGCCATCTAGGTCAGGGACTGGCGAAGTGGTTCCGAGGAACATGTCGTCCAGCGCCTCGAAATCAGGGGCAGGGGATGACGTGGGTTTGACGAATGGTTTCATCCGACCTAAGTGGACCGTGATCTCGTCCAGTTCGTTCGGTTTTGAAACACGATAAATGACATGGGAGAGCGGGGCTCTGACGGTATACGGGCCATGCCAAGGGCTAATAAGCTTGGGGTTTGGACCGTCAGTTTCATGGTACGGGCGATGCAGCAAAACTTTGTCACCCATCTTGAAACCGGGGAAAGACAACTTTTCGTTCTTGACGGCCTGCTTGTCCGCACGTTCTTCGAGATTACGACGGGCTAACTCGTATGCTAGCTGCAAGTTTTCCACCGTGCGACGTGAGTAGTCGAGTTTGGTTTGAGGTGCATCAGTAGAAGGAACTCCAAGAATAAGTTCTACAGGCAGAGTAGCAGCGCGCCCAAACACTAAATAATGTGGGGTTTCTTCCAAAGTTTGGGAGTATGCGGTGTTGTGCGCAAGCTGAACGAATGGCAGCAGTTCCGCCCAATTATCACATGCTAAATTGCTGTACATGGCAAGCATATTATGAACGGTACTATGGACACGCTCGAGAACAGAGTTCCCTTGCGGACGATAAGCGGCGGTGCGGGTTTTCTTGTACCCGAAGACAGATTGCAATTCTTTTCCGAGTTGGTTTTCAAATTCCTTCCCTTGATCAGAATGCAGGGTTTCCGGTTGGCCGAATACCCAAAAGACGCGGTCGATAAGATGACGGACTACCACCGCGGCTTCCTTAGACTTGATGGGAAATATTATGAGAAAACGCGTGAGGTGATGAATGACCGAAATAATAAATCGGTTCCATTCTGACTTAGATTTGTATTCGACAAGATCGACTGCAACAACCTGAAACGGTTTTGTGACCGGTCGGTGGCAGGTAGGCAACGTAGGGGTTCTATGGGACGTTTTGCGGCGTTGACAGGGGAGACAGCTTGCGACATGTTCGGCAACGTTAGAGTGCATCGTCGGCCACCAATAACGATCCCTCGAATGTACCTTTAATGGCGAGATGACCCCCAGAAGCGGACAGTTCGTGACAACTATGAATGACGAGGGTGCGTAGCAGTTTAGGCACTACTAGCTGGTCGCGAAAAGTATCTCGTCGACGTTAGTGGGCGGGGACGTACGACCGGCAAAGCAATCCCTCGTGGATAAAGAATTTACTCATGCTAGACTTGGATTGTTGGTGCGGAACACGAGCCTTAGTGG